GCAATGTTCATGCTCCAGGCCCTTTGCTCACAGACAGATGCAGCACCGGCTTGCAGGATCTCACTGAACATGTCATCCTGAGTCTTCTTTCTCCTCCTTTTCTGGCTCAGGCATTCCACATATGTGGAGGGTGAACCCCTCAAAGTCACAAAGGCAGCAGCTACAGATAAAACACACCAAGTTACCGCTATCAGTATAGTCACAGTGGAAAGTGAAAGTTAAGATTCAGAACTCCCTTCCCTTGCTCCCCTAAAGTTTTAAACCAGACATGCTCATTGACACTTCTGCTTTGGAATGCTTGTGCATGGCAGCACTCACAGCACCAGCCATGGGAAATGAGCAGGGAATTCCTTGGTTGCATGAAACTATGAGTATGGGGCGATGGCACTGAATACTGACACCATTTTCCACTAGTGGTGGTAATTTAAACTGATATCTCATTCCTAAGGGTAACAAAGGCACAGGCAGCACAGTGGTGTCCCGAAGCCGAGCAGGCCTATATGCTGCCTACCCTGTTTACTGCAATGGTGCCTGCTGAAGTTATCACTGGCTGGCATGGGAAAGTGTCCTACTGCAGAGGAAGAAATAAGCCTACCGTCCCTAGAAACTTTCAGGAGAGGATTACAGAGTACCTCCATGAAAGTTTAATCAAGATCCCTCAGGAAGATTCAAGTGACATCCTGTGTACCTCAACAAACTGCTCCATGTGGTCCCCCTGCCTAACTCTACGGAGGAATGAAAAGCAGATAACAACACTGCCTCTCTTTGTTGTACCACTACCTCTTCTAGTATGAGTAAATTAATGGAAAGTCAATAGCTGTATTCTGTTAAGTTGGGTCTGCCATCAGGAAATCAGTGTAATGGAACATACAATTACACATTTCTCTGAGGTTCCTTCCCTTGCATCGGGCTCGCCTGTGCTCGACTGCTGGAACTGACTGGCCTGCGGTGGAATCTCAAATAGGTCCTGACTCGGGGCATAGGCAGACCCCCCCTCCCCGGTCGCATGTCCCCCATCCTCCACCTCCTCCTCCTCCTCCTTGCTGTTTACAGCAGAAGCCTGTGACTAGGGCATCATTGCTGTAAACAGGCTAGCAGCATATGGGCCCGGATGGCTTTGGGACACTAGCAGCAGCTGTGTTCTCTGTGCCTTTGTAACCCTCAGGAATGAGGTATCAGCTAAAATCACCACTGCCAGTGGAAAATGATGCCAGTATTCAGTGCTATTGCCCCATACTCAGAATTTCATGCAACCAAGGAACTCCCAGCTCATTTCCCTCTCCACTAGCCACCCATCCTCACCATTGCTGGTGGTGAGAGTGGCATCGTGCACAAGAAATATCTCTGCTTTTTCTGTAAGTAAACTTCAAGTCTGCACATCAAGGAAACTTTGACCGCTTTTGGGCCATGCTATTAGCAATACTGGTATGGGAAATTGACAACTTGTTTACAAATGTAAATCTACTGACTTTCACCCGATTGTTATTAAGAATAAAGGTTTTAACTTTGCTTTTTTCATGGAGACAGCAAATAAGTAAAACTTTTCTTTATTTCATTTTAATATTTTCTTTCCCTCAAAATTGTACTTAGCACATAATGTGTACAATTAATTATAGAGGGCTAATTAAAACTGTAATACTGAATTTTATTTCATTTTAATATTCTTTTTTTCCCCCCAATTTTTTTTTACTCAGCACATAATGTGTCCAATTAATTATAGAGGACTAATTAAAACTGTAATATTGAATTCTATTTTCATTAACATCCATATGTTATTATTTGAAGCACTTCCATGGGACAATACAAATATTGCTCAGAGCATTTTGAAGGAATTATGCTAACTAAAAACTAAGCTACTATAATTTTCATATTTAGCAGCACAATTATTGCTGGAATAGATTTAGTATAGTCACCAAATGAGTGCTACTACTTAAAATAAGATTTAAGAATCATCTTGTTAAAATTATAAGGGATACAATTAACAATAAATTGTGTGGACTTGGAATTTCAGATGAATGATTTAATTACTGAAACAAGTTGATAATTAAAGCTTCACGGTAAGAGAATGAGTTGCCTTGTGTATTAGCCAGCTGTTTACAATAGTATTAGGTATGATAATGAGGGAGTATTTAAAATACAGATGAAGATTCTGCTAGAGCTTTACCTAGCTTGATACAGCTGTGGTGAGGGAGCACAACTGCTGCACTGAGACCATCTTCTGAAGATATTCTATTTTTGCAGGGCAGAGGCAGGCAGGCAGAATGCCTCTGGGATACTGAAGAGAATGTGATTAGTAGTGGCTTATTTTTTATACTGTAGCATCATTGCACCAGCTTCAGCCTGTCAGCCATAGAATATCAGGGTTGGAAGGGACCTCACGAGGTCATCTTGTACAACCCCCTGCTCAAAGCAGGACCAATCCCCAGACAGATTTTTGCCCCAGATCCCTAAATGGCCCTCTCAAGGATTGAGCTCACAACCCTGGGTTTAGCAGGCCAATGCTCAAACCACTGAGCTACCCCTCCCCCATGCAGAAGGGCGTAAGTGAAGGAGGTAAGACCTGGTTCTACCTCTGTCATCTCTTTTGGAATACTTTGCACGATTAGTGGTGCTGTCACTACCAGGTTCTTGAACTCAGAGATCACAAAGATCTGGACTATAGCTTCCCCTGTTCATAGGTGTGCAGGCTCAGGGGGAAGGCTCCTTCTGGCCATTTACCTCCTTACATATGTAGGGAGAGGCTAGACACAATCTGGCCCTTAGTTTGTTAAAAGCTATAAGGTAGAAATTGGCTTGCCTTGGCTTAGAAGGTTTAGGTTCGAAGTATTTTCAGTTTGAACTCCAAAGTTAAGCAAGATTGTTGTTTTGGACCAGCTGTTGAACTTTTCATGGTGAAGCTGACATCTTGGGCTAATGAAGCAGTGCTTGTATGTGAGGAAAGGTGGATCCCAACTTGAATTTCACATCATGGGTCAATGGAGCAACCTCTTAGGAGGGGATGCAGCCATCTCAGGCCAAAAGTTTTTAGTCTTGCTAACTAAACCAGCTATGTATACTGCAGCTGTGAATGCCACTAGCTTGGCTAAGGAGTCGATGTCTGCTATAGATCACTAACTATGACATTAAAGATGTTCTTAATTGTGACTGCAGGAGCACATGAGGCCCTGTTGCTGTAGCCTGATTTCATTACATGTCTTGATTGCGCATTCACCTAATCATATTCTTTCTCCTTTTCTACATTTGCTGAAAGCTTTGTTTCCAAAAGACGCCAGCATGTGGGCATTTTCAGGGGTTATAGTATGCTTTGTTGAGATGGAAAAGTACTAGCAGCAGAGTTGAAAGATTTTCCTTTTGGAATTTGAATCCAGAGTGACCTCTCCAAAATGTGCCTGTTTTATAGTAACTTTTAAATTGATTAAAAACAGTAAATGCAAATGTTAGAGTTCTCTTAGGTCAATAATATCTTCCAAGTGATCCTGACTAAAAATGGTTTTGTATGTCTCTGTTGCTCATCTCACTGGCTCTGAATTTAGAATTTGATAGTAAAGGGCATGCTGTAGATCATATTTCTTGCCGTTTAATTCACAGATGGTGCAGACCCAGGTTTGACATAAGACGGACAGAGATGACTGTCACCTTTGTCATTACTGTTGTCCTCATGCTCATTTAAAATAATTGCACTCATTGCTCTTCCATTACCTTTATGATAGCAGCCTGGCAATCTCAGAATAGTGTAGGAATGGCTAATAAGACCTTTAACAGCAAGCATTTTCTAGTAGACAGTAAGCCATTCTTTTCTGTCTGTTTTGATATGGACTCTAGTATACTAATCATCCACTGCTGTCTTTACACTCATACAGAAAGCTGGAGTTCCAGTCCAAAGAGAACGCTTAATTAGATGTCTAGACAATATTTTGTGCTGCATTGTAGTTTGGTTAAGATACCATTTCCTTTGGAGTGTGGTTGATCTGGCCCTACGATCTCTGTTTTCACAGTATTGATGTTCTGATTGTCTTGTTCCTCAAATGAGAGAGAGAAATATCAATAAAAAACTCTGCAAAAGTGCTACATATAAAAACTGAATATCTCTATCTAGACTTACTGATCCCAAAACACCATCTGTATTTTTTTTTTGAGGGGAGAGGGGAAGAAATCATCCCACAAGAGTTACACATAGACCTTCCCCTCCTTCCATGGAAGGGAAGGGGGCCCCTACCACACCCCTGGACCTGCAGAGAGCCCTCTGTAAAGGGCAGGTAGCAAAGACTGGTGCTCTATACACTTCGTTCCCCCCGCACATCATATGCAGACAGAGGTGGATCTGCTGAAAAGTTAAAACCTGACACATGCATTCCCTTATCCATGACCCTGACCATGTGTAGAACCCATTTTTATGGGGCTGGGTCAGAGAGGGGAGGTTCCAGTGGCAGCAGTAGATAGAGAGTCCCTAACAAAGCAATGCTGCCAGAGGGATGGAAGTGTGGAGCAGAGGGCCGTGGAGCCATTATGAAGACACAGGAATGTCTCACAAATGACTCTGGTCTAGGGTGGGTCCCCTGAAATCCACTGTTCATGGAAGCTGAGCACCCTGCTCATTCTACAAGGGACAAACCCTGTCCCCCAATATAATGATCTAGAGAAACCTAAGTGAAGGGATTGTCCCCCATGCATCTTATTGGTTTTCCATGGGACGGGGAAATCTATACCCCAAGCACGTTCTCAGGGAACTGTTCTATCCTAGTGCCTAACAGAGTTGGCGTATGACATTGTTTTTCTTATGAAGAAAAGAATAAATGGAAAAATCACTGTCAGACTGACCAAGGATGTGGTGAAGAAAATCACACAGGAGTCTGACTGTTGTGGTGGAGGTGCCACAGGTCTGTTATAAAGTGAAGTGAGTTATTTGTTGCCTGAGCTAAGCAACTTCTTGACTTTTCCCTGAAGCATCTGGGGTGGTTGCAGGGGGAAAATATCTTACCAGGCATATCCTAATACCTGCCAAAATGCTTCAGTTTTCAGAAACTCAGAACACTGAGGTTCCCTAACTACTCCTTCCACTCTTCAGTTGTTCTATATCTCTCCAATATAAAGTATTCAAACTTCACCAGTTTTTGACCCTATGAAGGAAAAAGGGATACTTGATCTCAGACTCTCAGAAGTCTCCATTTGTTTCTGATCTGAATGATTGGTTTCACATAAAACTATGAATAGACGAGGTGATGGAAAGAGCCCAAAGAATATTTAAACCATCCTTACATATACAGGGCACAAGGATGTTGTGACTATTGCAATATTAATGAAAATGACATATCAATACAACGTGATTTATTATCCAGAGTTTCTTAAGCCCAGAGGGGAGTTTTTACTAGATTTTGCTGTATTATGCAGCTAGCACAGCTGCTACTCAGATCTGACATAAAGTGACTTGTTTGTGTGCCCTACCCCTCAGTCGCTATACCATTCACACATCTCAGTTTTAGATGTGGCAAGACATTGTTTACTTTACAGCTCTCAGGTTTGCTTTTGTTTACTGATAGTACTGGCCTGGATTTGGCATGCCCTTGAATACGGGGCTCCGTAACTCTGGCCCTTATCCAAACTCCAAAGAAGTCAATGGGAGTCTTTCCATTGACTCCAGTGGGCTATGGATCAGGCCCTTTATCCACAAAGAATTGCAGTCCCTCATACTGTGCCTACGTTTACCACAGCCAATATCTCAAGTGGCAAAGCCTCAGATCCATAGTGGTTCTTGGTACCTGACTCCCAGACTTAGGTGCCTAAGACCCATTTTTAGGCACCACTGTGATCTAGAAAACTGTCACTTGGCAGCTGCCTAACATTGTAGATTCTTAAATTCACTCAATGCCAAAATTCCTTGTAGCCTATGATCCTGCCTCTGAGCATGTGCACAGCTGCTTCCCTCTAGGTGCCTGTCTTCTACTTAAGCCTCAGAGCCATCCATGAACCAGGGGAAGATAGGTATTCACGGGCCTAACTTGCACGTGGGACTGCCTAACTCCACACAAAATAGCTGTGAGAGGATAGGAAAGAGAAGGCCCTCCCTTATAACTTTTAGCCCAGTGGTTAGGGTATTCACCTGGCATGTGGGAGACCCCCCAATTGAAGTCTCCCTGTTGCCTGCTGAAGAGGAGGAATTTGAACAGCGATCTGCCACCTCTCAGCTAAGTGTGCTAACCACCAGGCCACACAGGGAATCTCACTCTCTACCCCAATTCATATTTAATTATTCAGTTAAAGTGGAACAACTTCAATAGGTGAAGTTGAGGGAGACCCATATCAGAATATCCCATCGCCCAGTGGTTTGCTGCCCTCTCCCAGCCCACGGAGGAAAAGGTCTAAGCAACAAAGGGAAGGCCAGCTGGGGAGAATCTGGTTCTTAGGTTGCAGCTCGCCTGAATTGATACAGACCCCCAAGAAGGAGAGTTGTGGGACTGTGGCTCCTAGGAGGAGACGTCTGACTGAACCAATGTGGACTCCAAGAAAGAGGGCTGCAGGACTCCTGAATGAAGGAGAAGGGTTAGGGCTAAAAAGTCTTTGTTTGTGGTAAAGACTAAATAAATAATTCCCCACAAACGGGGATGCTTGTGTAGCCCAAAGTCCAGTGTCCTTCATCAGCAGCAGCCATGGGAACTACAAATTGTGGGCTACAAAGTGTGGCATGTTGGGAGAACTTCCTGGTTCCTATCAGGAGGTACCCTTGGCCCCTCCCAGCAGGAAGTCCCAGCATTGACTGAAGCTGGGAGCATGAGGCAGGCAAGAAGGGAGGAGTCTGCTGGACTGTAATCCCATTCTATCTTTCTTTACAGAATAAAGCCTTGTTCCTGGTGGTTTGTCTGAGTGGGTCTGCTCTGAGGTGAACACACACTGACACACAACGGAGAGCACACAGAGGAGCCTCAGGTCCAGTTTCCCGTAGTTGTGTAAAAAGTCACAAGGCAGACTTCCCCTATCTTGAACAAACTCATACTGGGCCAGTGAACAGAAGGGGGGCTACACTTGTTTAAATACTCCAGCCTGGGATTAATTTATTACCAAGAACTAAGGGGGAAGCTGAGGTAGGGTGTCAGTAGGGGCTCCCCCCATGCCATGAGAAGGATGTGTTGGGATGACAGTTGCCCTCTTGGCCTCACATGATCATAGCATGTGTAATATGCTTCTCTCATGCTACTTTAGTGTGACACTAAGAACATTCAGAATGACATCATACCAAATTTCAGTAATCTAAAATGATAGACTTTATCAGAAAGTCCCACCTAAAAATTAGTATCTGTGACATTGTATATAATAAAAAAGTTAAATCATTACCTAAAAAAAACATAATTGCACAAAACAAAGGTAGTGTTTCATAAAACAGCCTTCATATCTATATATATTCAATAGCTAATATGTATGTGTTTAAGAGATTGGAGACTTCAATAGGGAGCAGCATTGGGCCTATATTATTTAACCGAAAAAATCTATAATAGAACATTTCTAGCTAAATTATCCATTTAATCGCTCCATATAAGATTTTGTTTTCCTTCTAGGATTCTTCTTGGAAGGGGAAGCATTCAGAGTGTGTGAAAAGAACAAAACTGAAAAGCTTGTTCTCCATTGTAATTAAGAGATTATGGTAGTTTATTATTTGCCAATGAATCTATTTAATCTAAATTGACTGAATGTCCTTTGAAGTAGAGGTCAGATTGTTGTGTATTTGGTTGTCGTGGGTTATAACACAGATCAATGAGGTCTTTCTGCCTTCAGTATTTATAGCCCTGTGTTCTGTATTCTCAGACGTAGTGTTTTCATCTGTGAAGACTAGAATAATGGCATTTTCAGCAAGCAACAGACAGCAGTAAAACAACTGAAAGAGGTTCACCAATGTGCATTGTTGTATGAATTGTTCATTTGAGATAGTAAAACCTCCAAATTGATTTTTCCCCCAAACTGATTTGAGCTGTAAATCTGTAAAGAACTGAACTCTGTCTAAAGCTTTGAATTTTCAAAAACAAACTGCCAGTTATGAACATATTGGGACCCCTACTGAAATTATTGCCCATTCTGCATATCTCTCAGGCAGGGCTCCTTCTTTGTGTGTGTTATTGATACAGGCAGGCCCAAGGGCTGCAGCTAGGACCCATAAAGCTCAGGAGAATGGTGGTGCACCAGATCCTGAGGTTTCCTGGCCAGTAGGGAAGTCTCTGGCATTAAGCAGAGCAGCCTCAAGGCAAATACACTTTATACCTAGCAGTCTGTGGCCCCAAGGGGCTATTCTGACCACTGGAGATTGTTCTCAGCACATAGAGACAATCCCTTTTTCTGGGCCGAGCTGCATTCCCTTCTGTAGGGACTGGAGGAGAGGTGGCTACTGCAATTTTCACCACTGGAAAAAAAATCCACTATGCATGAGGCATTCTCTGCTGGTCAACTAAACTGGCTTTAAGACTGCTTTTGTGTTCCTAGATGTGCAATGCAGCCTTACCAGGGCTGAGAGTGTGGTACTTAGGTTCCAATCCTCTTTCAGGGCACTTTAGGGCAAGGGCAGACCCCTGAGCCCATGCAGAATTCTATTAAAGTTGCGGAGGAGAAGGGGCATTGCTCAGTCCAGCTGAACACTCAAAAGTTTATATGCTGCTTATCCAAATCTCTCTGGACTGCAAAATTGTGCTAAAAGTGTGAGTACAGTTGATTTCTGGCACTTCAAGCTTAAATATTGTAAGAACAGCCTTGTTCGTGTTAGTTTAGTTGCTTTTCTTACTGTTACTTGCTGCAGAACTAGAAAATGAAGAGGATGCTGAAGTATACAACACTGAAGAAAAAAATAGTAGTACATTCTTAACAGGGCTATCCCTAGGATTGTGGTGCCCTACGTAGCCCCCTGCGGGGGGTCGGGGGGAGGGCGCGGCCCCGGGCCTCCAAGGGGGGGGCATCCCAGGGACTTTGGGAGGCAGGGGCAGCCAATGCAGGAAGGCAGCAGGGGTCAGGCCCGCCCCGGCACTCACGGGGCGGCGGGAAGTGGAGTGACCCAGACCCAGCCTGCTCCACTCTGCTCCCCCGGCTCCCAGGCTTGGGGGAAGAGGGGCAACCGCCCTCCAGCATTCACCAGCGGCGCAGCTGGGAGCCGACGTAGCGGAGCGGGCTGGGGCCGGGTCGCTCCACTTACCACCGCCTGGTGAGTGCAGCGTGGGCCCGACTCCAACCCCTGCTGCTGTCCCCCAGGACGCATAGCTCAAGGGATGGGGTTTGGGGGGGAAGGGGTGAAGCTGGGGCGGAGCAGGGGTGGGAAGAGGTGGAGCAGGGGCCGGGTGGGGCAGAGGCAGCTTTCCTGGGCCCTGCTGTGCGCAGCCCCCGAGGGGCCGACTCAGCCGTCTGGGGATCGGGCTGGCCGCTGGAGCTGGATGCAGCACGCAGCTGCGTAGGGCACCAGGAAATTTGGGGCAATTTGGTGCCCCAAATTTCCTGGTGCCCTACACAGCTGCATAGTTTGCCTATGGGTAGGGATGGCCCTGATTCTTAGACCTGCACAAATGAGGAGTGGTTTGAGTTTGGGACTGAGATTTGGGTCAGTTCTTGATTTCTGATTTTGTACAGGACATGTTTATGAATAAAAACAGTCATAGCTGTTGGTATGTAATATAGTGAGATAAATAAAGACCTTGTAACTTACAAACTGAAAGATCATATAGTTTTTTAAATACTGGGCTCGATGCCTACTGCAAAATAATGCTTTGCCTAACTTAAGGTAACATTATTTATGATCTTTATTTCTCTGTTTATAAAATTCAAATGTTTGATTAGTCTATATTTCTAAATGAATCTGAAGATTCAAAAATTTAATGTGGATAAATGTAAAGTAATGCACATGGGAAAAAATAACCCCAACTATACATACAATATGATGGGGGCTAATTTAGCTACAACTAATCAGGAAAGAGATCTTGGAGTCATCGTGGATAGTTCTCTGAAGACGTCCACGCAGTGTGCAGCGGCAGTCAAAAAAGCAAACAGGATGTTAGGAATCATTAAAAAAGGGATGGAGAATAAGACGGAGAATATCTTATTGCCTTTACATAAATCCATGGTATGCCCTCATCTTGAATACTGCGTACAGATGTGG